GTTGCCCTTTTTTAGAGTGGAATAGGTCACCGGATCAAACTACTATATATCTGCGTGTTGAGCCAATATTTATATTATTATAATTGATTGTTTTATTAATTGTCAATAAATTATATTTTATCACACACTTGACTGTTGATCTTGCATAAGATTATTTTATGTATCATCAGTTTGACATTGTATGTGGAAAACGATTAAATTTTCTACTACCTTACTATTCTCTTTCAAATACATGGCGATCACGATTAGGACGATAAGTCAACAACCTGGCCCACTGAGAGGAGGCTCCGCCTTCGCCAGAACCATCCACTGCGGCGACTCCCATGGTTAGGCAACAACTTTTACAGACCATGCAGTTGCTGGTAAACTAGAACAAGTAAATTATCCAGTTAGTGCTCGTCTCGGGAGGCGTCGCCCCTCGTAGAAGGAGCACTACTCCCTCCGACAAAAGAAGCACTGCAACCTCCATTTTGGGCGCCAAAGTACCCCACAGTGGGGCCCTGCACCAGAGCACCCCCGGGCAACGCTAAGGCTCTTTGCCCAAGAGTCTACACTGCCACGGAAGTCCTAGGAGCCTACATTGCCACGGGAGTCCCAAGCACGAGAGTCTGGGAGTCTACACCACCACAGGAATCCCGGGATAAAGTATCATGCACCTCTACACTCGCCTGCTCAGTGCATGATGCCTCCACCCACCATAAGGCAAGTCCAGACACTATCCCAAGAAAGTCCGACATCTCGGAGACAGTTTCACAGGCCTCGGGAGACACACTCCGAGACTAGAGGCGTCCGACTCCTTTGTGCCTACTTCACGGGAGCCCTCTACACTCTTACTACCATTTATTGTACCATGTTGATCAAGCCCCGTGACATTCCATTCAAGTACGTTGTCTCCCTCCACTTTGCAACATCCAACAACCAAGCTGAATATGAGGCCCTCAAATTAGGATTGAAGCTCGCATTGGAGATGGAGACCCTCTACCTGACAACCTACAATGACTCACAACTGATAGTCAACCAAGTAATGGAAGGGCTCCTCTGGGCTCGTACCCAGTGCCCAAGCACCCCAAAGCCTAGACGCCTATGCCAACCAACGCCTTAGCACCAACGCACCTGCCTATGCAGTGGCGTTGCCCATATCGTTTGCAAGGTGTCGCCCAAGGCCATTGTCTGTCTAGTGGTGTCGCCCAGACCACCTTCTGCATGCGTTGCCCACAATCCTCAGCATGCACACTAGCGCTTAGCACTAGCCAACGCTAGCGCCAGTACCTACCAGCCAACGCCCTAGGCTGTGTTGCCCATGGACACTACCTAGTGGTGTCACCCAGCTAGGGGTGTTCACCCTACCCTATGGGTAGGAAATATGCTCTTCCATCTTCCTACCCGATACTTTGCGGAAGAGTTTTTTCTTGGCCTATTCTACCCGACAGTTGTGGTATTCCTATCCGATTAATAAGGTAAGAATTCAGGTAAATATTTTTGTAACAATTAATTTTTGGATCATTTTAATAATTTAATTAAATAACATGCACCAATTTAACAACACAATAAATTAATTAACACCAAAATCTAAAACAACTGCAACAAGAATTATAATAAAACACAAGAAAGTATGAACATCAATTTACCATAATTGTTACACAAATACAATAACAATTAATTTAAGTTTAAACTTTAAATCATATGAAATACATTAAAATCATAATTGCTTCGTTATGGTAGTTTACTACAAATCATGTAACCGATCTGTTACTGTAAATGAAGGTCTGCGATCAGACCTTCCAAGCCAGACCACACCATAGAGAGAGAGAGAGAGAGAGAACCTGGGTGGGAAGTTTGAAACGATGAAGGAGGAGTAGTGCAGTTACCGAGTGAGGTGTGAGGCGCAGACGCTCTTGGGACTCGGTAGATTAGGGTTTTTTTACTATATATATATTTTTTTAAAAAATTATTGCGGGTAGGGTAAGGTAGAAATGCGGAAAGGGATGTCTATTCCGCATTCTTACCCGAAAATTGTCGGAAGACCAAAAACTCTTTTGCATTCCTACTCGATTTTTTCGGCTAGCTGTTCAATAGGGTAGGGTAGGGTCGGATAGGGTAGGAACTTGTGGCCGGTTAAAAATTTGAACGCCCCTACACCCAGCTATTGCCAGTGGAATTGTCCTCTACCTCTAGTCGTGGTGTCCCCCAGTTGGCCCACAGTGTCTCCTCTTGTTGCCCACATATTTAGTGCCACCACACCTGTACCCAGCACTCCTCAACGTCCATGCCCAACGAAGTCCAGCACTCCTCGACGCCAATGCCCAACGACATCCATGCCCAGCGGCGGTCAAGAGATAAAGATCTAAAATAAAGTAGATTTGATTTTTTTTTTTTTTTTGAATTTTGAATTGTGGCTCTTATTAAACTTTTTGTTTGTATTTAAATAAGGATAAATGAGTCTTTTGATATAGATATTTACTCAATGACCCAAAAAGATAGACGTCTGGACTTATTGGTAAAGAAAAATGGCTACAAGGGACCGACCTCCAAAAAACCCTAGAATCTAACTTGCCGAGTTAAGGGGGCCCATTAACCCAACATATTGGATTTCTTAATAGGCTAGGCCATTGGGCCCCGACCCCAAAAAAACAATTGAAGCCCTCCCCGAGCTGAGAAACTGTCCACGGCCTGTCACATGAACGGGCTAGGCAACCCATTAACCTGTTGGGCTGCCAAGTTTTAGGCGGCACATTAGGTTTTGAGCTTTTTGTCAAGGCCTCTATGGTACAAGTTGATGGACCAAGCACCTTACCAACCTTATTACCTCGCCCTTTCTTAGGGCCGCCACTTGGTCTGTTGGATGGTTAGATTTTCGACCATAACATACGTACTCAATCAACCTTACTCTTGATTTATTAAATTTATAATCTGGAGCATAATTAAAAGATATTGCAAATACATAAAATTAATTAGATACCGCTCGAGTGTATGGCTCTTGCTCTGTGGTGACCACATATTCAAAGAGATCATTACAGAGTACATATGTTTACAAGCAATGAACTTAGCATCCTTGAATTGGATTGTATCGTTTTCTATTATACTCAGCTAGAAAGTCATCATGCTCATCTTCAATATAATCATGATATGCAAAATTGGGCACCTCTTCATCATGCAACCTTGTAATAAATTAACGATTTTGATTTTATGAACTAGAAATTATTGCATCAAGAATAATTCAATTCAAAATAAAATTTGACACAACAAATACACACAATTAGACATAAGTTACTAAGGCATACAATAAAAATTGATTCATATGATGGTACAGACTCATTCATTGACATAGATAATGAGATTATACTGCCGTTGACTACCTGTTTGTAGTGCGACAGAAAATGCAAGTAAACAGAGTTGCTGCTGTTAAGTATCAGTGAAAACTTTTTTCAACTGTTCGTTGTCTCCTATGTCGACGAAAAGGGTAGAGAAGTTCAAGTAAAGATAATCCATTGATTGCCTTTAACGATTTCTAACCACGTTAATTTGTTGTATGATCAATATGGGAGGGGGGGTGTGGCTGACTTAAGATCGAATGAATAACAATGTTGCTCGCCTACTAAATAATCAAATGGTCGTCCCTGGTCGAACTTCCCATCCAGTTGTGCCCAAAAAAAAAATGTATTTTCACCTTTGGAGTGATTATTTCAAATATTGTATTTTGAAACCGTAGTATACCAAAATGCAACGTCAATATTGGTGAATTTGCGTCAAGGAAACCTATGTAGATTGAATTTGAATTGTAGGAACTAAACTACATCACTAAAATGTTTCAAATAATGTAGACATTTTCTTAAAAATAGCATTTGTCCCACTAGAAACTAAAAATGGTGAAAATTAACAAATATGTCTTCAAGATAAAATGAAGCCTTAAACATACTTACGTTTTGTCCTGATGAAAACGGTTCTTGAATGTCATATGAAAATCATAATAGCAAAGTTTTGGAAATATGTTTATACAATAATACAAAATTATAGAATAAACAATGAAATGAACAGAATTTGTTATTGAGAAAACGTAATTGCTCACACACACACACACACACAAAAAGAAATCTAACGCGAGTTTGGTGCTTGGGTTGACTTTGTATTTATAGAGTTGTTAGCCCAATGGCGTCAATATCACATTTTTATCAAATTTGAATTACTGGATGTCCAGATCATATGATAGTTGATCGAACGGTTATGTTTGTTTGTAAAAGAAAGTAAGCCATCAAAGCGCTACATTCGTACCAAGTTTTCCCATTCTCAAAATGTGAGAGAAGTTTCAAAGGTAACTTTTCATTACTCCAAAGGCACATGAGTTTCTCAAAACACCCACTCAGCAAAGGCTTATTATTTTGAAAATCTTTCTACAATCAACACATTTTACAGAACAAACTATTAGAGAGGATGTTAAATGATCAAAATGCAATTTCTCAAATTTGGGGGCAGTCTCTTCCCCTGCCTTCTGAAAAAGTAGAAAGCTTGGCCTATATAGAACAGTACCAGCTTCAATTGTTTGCCCGGGTCCATAAGAGGGCAATCAAAGGGGTGCTAACTGCCAAGTGTTGCTGAGGCTTGTTTTTGTGCACCCCTTCTTTTTTGTAGTTTTGGTGCTTTTCCTTGTGTTTTAGCTTTAGGATAGTCTGTTTTTTGCTTTGTGATAGCTGTGTTACATGATGTTTTCATGCTTCACGTCGATATCTGAATCAGTGCTCTCTCTCTCTCTGTGACACACACAAGCATGCAATTATTTTTCCAAAGGCATTAGATTAATCGTGCAATGGTAATGTTTATCTATTGTGACTTAAGCGCCACAAGTTCGACTCCCAAATATAGTCTCTCTGCACATGGTGTAGGACCATGTAAATTTGTTCCTGTAAAATTTTAAATAAAGAGATAGAAAAGAAAGAATTGATTAATAAGAAGAACACACAGATATAAGGCTTTCACTTTTATTGATGGATTGCAGTGTAGTTGAATTGTATTGATACAAGGACAACACCCATATATATAGGGTGCCAGTTCATTTCAATAAACATGTCTGGCTATTACAATGCAATACATTAAGCCGTGAATCAAGTCTATGATTTAGGTAACTGCTGACCTTCTTTATTTTCCATACATCCTTTACAGACTCCAATAGTAACAAGAATTTCATGCACCAAACTACTTTTTGGTATGATAAAGTTCACGAGTTAAAGAAGAGGCATTGGATTGGCTTGCATTCTTCTCATATTCAGGAAAACAGCAAACTCACTGATGAGATTAATGGGGGTTAAGTCAACTTGAGAATTAGGAAACACTGATTCCCATGTTAAAAGTTGTTGTGATAGTCAAAAGGAATTGACAAGATTCAATCATTCCAATCAAATCAAATCAAAACCATAAATTCTTTTGCATTCAATATCTAGTAGTTGATGATCATCAAGAAGGAATGGAAAATAAAAACATTCCAAAGTCCCTGTTTACATTTATACCAGCAATACCAACAATGAAAAGCCATTAGAATGCAGATTTAAAAGTCTGGTATATACAAAGTACACTAATGCAGTAAAAATATTCAACAAAAAACCATTTGGTTGGCAATGTAGCTCTGCTGTTCTTTGAAGATGAGCCTTTTTCTTAATTCCTTTCCATGTTCAAATCCAATTGCATTGTGACTTTTTTAAAAAAAAAAGAGACGGCCAATTGCACCAAGTTCTCATTACTGTGATGTCAAAGGAGAGAGGATAGTGGGAGAATCATTATCAGTGCATTGTTGGAGGTGGTGCCATGGGGTATGCCACTGGCCCAACATATGGGAAGTGATGTCCAGGAGGAAGCATAACAGGAGTCCCAACTGCTGATGCAATGTGCCCGGGAGGGGCAGCAACGGGATGCCCTACTGGTGCACCATACATGCCCAAAGCAGGCATATTAGGGTGGCTCCTATGCTTCCCTGCTGGTCCAAGGGTGGCTGCATTTGAGGGGTTCGTGGTGGTGGATTGGCCGGTGATCGGTGCCTGGTGAGAAGAAACATCTCCATTGTTCAAGTTTGTAATGTCATGGATGCTAGATCTCCTCCTATCTCTGTTCATTGAGTTCAGCCTAATGAAGTATTTCTGGGCATGGCTTGCCACTTGGGTTGGAGTCCTGGATATGACAAAGTTCCTTGAAATGCTTCTCCAATCTCCTTTCCCAAACTTGTCAAGGCCAAGCAAAAATAACCTGCGAAAGGAAGAATATTCCAGCCTGAGGTTCATAGTTCACAATCATAATTGACAATAGAAGTTTAAACCAATCTACAAAACAATGCTTCTGGAAGATTAAAATTGCGTTTCGATATAGTTAACACCGAAACCAAAGCAATTCAAAAACGTTTTAGAAACAGAACGAAGGAGAAACAAATTCAAAATACCAATTCTAAAATATTGGCCAAAACTTTCAGAAACATTCCAAATTATCTCGATTTTTCATCACTAATTTGCTTTGAGTTTCACCAAAGCCAAACATTTTTATTTTATTTTTGGGTGGATAATAAGCGAAATTTGATTCTTGGTTCTACCCAACCAAGACTTGGACAATCCAAGTTTGAATATCTATTTCCCATCGTTGTAAATCAAAAAACTAATCAACTTTCGAAATCTCAAAACAGTTTATGGATATCATTTGGAAGATAGGACATACAAGATGATTGCAATATGCTCAAAATTTGTTCCAAGTGACCAGATTATTATAAAGGTTAGTTTCGTGATTGACTGATACCTATGCTCTTCCTCTGTCCATGGTATCCCTTTCCTGCGCTCTTGCTCTGACCTTGAGCCTCCTTTCCCTCCATGACCACTTGAGTCATGGCCTAAACCTGAGAACCCATTTCCATAACCGCAACCCGACCGCCTTTCGGGAGCTGTGACCCCAGAAAAGCCATGAATATTCTTAGAAGATGATGATGAAGATGGCTCCTCTCCAATGTAATTTGGAATAGGAACATGTCCAGCCTCAATTGCACTCACATCTTCAACTAGAACTTGGTAGTGTTGTTTCAACTCTTCAATTGTTTTACTTGGAACCATTGAAGCAATCTTGTCCCATTGCTCATTGGAGTTCTCTTCCTCTGTACAGTGAAGGGCAATGGCATTTTCAAAGGTTTTCTCTTCTTCTCTGCTCCACAAAGTTGAAGATGAAGCAGACATGTTTGTTGATGATTTACAGACCTTTTAAGCTCAGTGAAAAGTGTGATAATGGTGGAAATGTTGATGGGTTTGTGTCTCTGTGAGCTGTAAGTGTTTGGGTTTGGGAAGAGGAGAGAGTAGGTGCGCAGGATAATTGGCGGAGAGAGATTGAAAGAGAGAGGGAAAGGAGTGCAGGATAAGAAATGGTATCAAGGCACTAATGGAAGAGGACCACATTGGGAGGTTGAACGGATGGGCTGATTTGTCATATTCATACAAAATCATGCGTCAATTTTTACTGTGTAATAAACCCAAAAGAAAATTTATTACTGTGTAGCAGATGATTTATTATTATTATTATTGATATACTTGGTTTTTTTCTTTTATTTCCACTGGTTTTCCAAAGCATAGCCTACAATTTTAAATTTTTGGTGGGGAAAATATTTGTTTTATTCACAAAAAAAGAACATAAATAGTAGGACTTCTCAAAAGTCCAGCTAAATAATTTTAATTAATTAGTCATGCAGGCCCCCATGATAAAATAAAATAAAAATTATCTTATTGAGAGAATTTATAGTAAAAAAGTCTCAATTTATTTCTTCTTGGAAATGATTTCTAGTCTTTAGAGAAGGGGAAAGAAGTGTTGTTGTCATGTAAATATGATCAATGTATTAAATCTTTTGCAAGGGCTTTAGATAATAGCATGCGAAAGCCAAAAAGAAAAAAGTTTAGGAATGAGTTCTTTATAATTGAAACACTCATTTGATAAAAGGGGGAATTACACTGAGTATCTCTGAGGTTTGTTACTTAATCACTCAAATTTCTTGACATTTAAAATATTACACACAAGTCCCCTAAGGGTTGTACTCTTAGACTCCTACCGTTAGTATATCCATTAATAAATTATATTTAAACCTCTCAAATTTATAGGCATATAATACTTAGATTTCTCAAATTTAAAATGTTATATTTAGACCAAAAATATGTCAAACAAAGATAGAATATCAAATATTTTAAATTTTATAACCAAAATTTATATTCTATTATGACATTTATTGAAATAAAATTAAAATTAAAAATTTAATTTTTCTTAAAAAATCATAATTAGTATACTATTATACTATCTATTGAAATTTAATTTGATTTTTTAAAAGACTAAATTATCCTAATTAAAATTAGAATATATTGTGTTCATTACAGTTTGACCTCTTATTTGATTTTTTAGTTTTATTCTAATAGATAGTATAATTATATATTAATTATAATTTTTTAAGAAAAAATTAATTATTTTATTTCAATAAATGACATAATAGAACATGAATTTTGGTAAAATTAATGTTTTATTATGAATGATTTAAACCTCTTGTTTGATTTTTTTTTATTCTAATAGATAGAATAATTGTATACTAATTACGATTTTTTTAAAAAAATTGAATTTTTATTTTTAATTTTATTTCAATAAATGATATAATAGAACATGAATTTTAGTTATAAAATTAAAAATGTATAATATTTTATATTTAATTAGAGTATTTTTGTTCTAAATATAACATTTTAAACTTGAGGGGTCTAAATATTATATGTTTACAAACTTCAAGGGACTGAGTGTAATTTAAACTTGAGTGGGCTAAATGTTATGCGCATACAAATCTCAGAAGGTCTGTTTGTAATATTTCAAATGTCAGGAGATCTGACTGATTAAGTGTAAACCTCATGGGGTGTAAGTGTAATTCTCCCTTTATTTAATTAGGGGTGCCCATAGGTCGAATTGCCCACAAGTTCTATTACCCGGCCCTAAACCCAATAATTGGTTTGTCCGAGTATGAGCCCAATATCCTTCAAGATAAAGTTTGGCCTTACCCCAAACTCATTACCCCGCCCCAATAGCCCACTTGTTAAAACACCGCTCAAAAACCCGCGCCGTCCTGCCCAATCAAACACATAGAAACAAGTCCTCTAATATCGGAATTCAAAGTTTTAGAAATTTATATATCATAAATAATATATTTTTTTCTTTTTTCATGTATTAAACATATACATTTTAAAAGGTAGAGTTGTGCAAATAATAGATAGGTAGGTATGTGTCAACTTAATTAAGATGTGTTTATTCTATTGTGATGCAGTTGTTCCTCTATTTATAAAAAAAAATATTTATTATTTACTTTTTATCCATTTTGACTCTACTTTTATTTCAAAAATATAATTTATAAAAGTATTAAGTTACAAAAATATTCATTGTTTCTAAATAAAATTTTATATAAAAAGTTCGTCCAATAGACCCGCCCCAAGCTCTCCCAAGTGGCTCATAGGCCCGCCCGCAAAGGTCTATCCTCGAGCCTGTCCAATTAATGGCGGGCTGGGCTGGGCTGGGCTATGGGCAGTCTACTCCTACTCACAGCCAGACTAGGCTCCCCTGATAATTTACCTGAGTAAGGGTTTTGGTCTACCCTACTCAGACCCAACACAAAAAAAATTTCGTGGATCGGGCCAAGCACCCCTATATTTAATATTATAGATAGAAAGTTAAATTATTTATTTATAAAAGTATAACAACAATAAATATTAATCTAATTTTTATTTACTTGATCTAATGATATATAATTTATTTAATTTTTTTAGCTCAAAAATATCAGTTCAACCAACACATTCTCAAATGCTAAATAATTTGTGTAATTCATGCTTACTTTTCTCTTAAAGAAAAGACAAATAAATAAATTTCTATCTAAAATATAAATAACGTACAATCAATATTTGTTTTTTAGTAATACAAAGTATCTCCCGTGATGTTGCTAGTATATTTTATATTAGGGGAAATTTTACTCACACTCCTCCTAGTTTACTATATTTTCAAAAACACCTCCTCTATTATCAAAAAAACATCACTGACACATTTTCTATTTTAATTTAAACATCATTAACACCTCATACCATTAAACTACCATTTCTAACAAAAAAACAATCATCTAAAATGCCCCTACATAAACCTTAAGTAATTTTTCTACATTTTATTAAAATTCGAGTGGTTAAAATTTTAAAAACAATTGTAAAAAAAAATTTTAGTAAATAATTTGTTAGTAAATACTAATTTGTTATTTACTAATTCGTAAATTTAAAAAAAAATTGAGCCTATTAAAATTTTTTTTTACATATTAAAATTTGAGTCGATTTGAACTCTATTCGAGTTGTTAGCGTTGATTAAAATTAACTTTCGAGTCGATTAAAATTTATATTTTTTTTACTTATTAAAATTCGTATCAATTAAAATTTGATTTATTAAAATTTGAGTCAATTAAAATTTATATTTTTTTATATATTGAAATTTGTGCTGATTAAAATTCAATGCAAATTTATTAAAATTTGATTTGAGTCGATTAAAAATAATTTTTAATTGGCTCAAATAAAATTTTAATTAGCCCAAATTTTAATAGGTAAAAAAAATATAATTTTTAATTTGCTCAAATTTTAATATGTAAAAAAATAAATTTTAATTAGTATAAATCGAATTTTAATCGACTCGAATTTTAATACATAAAAAAAAATTAGAAAATAGAGGATGACTCATTGAAGATATACTTATCTAGAGGGGGTCTTTATTGAAGATATGTTTATCTAGAGGAGTGTAGATAAAATTTGTCCTCAAATATATCATGGATAATTTAATAAAATTGCATTATAGTTATATTTTTAATCTGACAAAGAGTGTCACTGAAGATTCAAAAAATAGATAGGGTATCTTTGAAGATGTGGTAAACTAGAGGAGATGTGGTTAAAATTTTCCTTTTATATTAAAAAGCCTGAGTTGAATTTATTTTTTTATTTTTTGGTTAAACAATGAAATACTAAGCAATAACAAAAGAAAATTAAAAAATAATGATAGGTTAGTAAAAAAAAAATTGGATCCCCGTCCTATTCACTTTGACATGGCCCACTCCTTTTAAGCAAATTGTTGGCTGACATTTGCAATCATCGAGTGTGCCATAAGGTCGTAGAATATGGGGTCCGATCCCGAATAGAATCTTTCTTTCTGTCACGCGCCACGGCAAGGCGTGTTCCTAAAGTGACTTTTTTACCCTCGTAAAATCACTATTGACAAGGGTATAATCATTCTCCCAAAATCAACTATGGATCCAAAGATGGTTATGTATCGAGTAAATATTCGATGCAACAGTAATATCATATTATTATTATTATTATTATTATTATAATATGGTGTTATTATTTAATTAAAAGATTATAAATAGGTAAAATAAGTCCTACTATTTCTATAATTGTCAATAACAATCACATCCAATCAACAACACAGAGGATCAATGAGATTCACTTTATCTATTTGTTAACATGGTATCATCATTGTAATTAATATTTTTTTGTCTATTAACCAATAATAACTACATTAATTTTAGTGTTATAATTGGGCATATATACTTTGCCTTTAGTTAAATTTAAATAAAAAATATATATATGAGAATTAAAAATATGAAAAATAATAAAATATAAACAATCATACTCAACTTTCTTTCTTTCCTTTATTTTTTTTTTGGTCAAACACACACAAAGAAAATCACACATAATTCACACATCACACAGCTTAAACACGCTTAAGAGAGTGGAACTTTCTTTCATTCTCTCCCGGTCTGAGAGCCCAGTACCCTAGCTTCCTACCCTAAAAGTTCCTCAAATAAAATCTAACCGTTGCCACTACAAGTGCTCTCTCTCTCTCTCTCTCTCTCTCTCCCCCTCCCTCCTTACGTATTATGTGTCAGTGTGTATAAATTTTCTCAGGTTATTTTCGTATCAAGTCATTTTTAATACATATTCAGTTTGTTTTAATGTTTGTGTCAATAAAAAATTATTAAATTTTACAATAACTCATATAATACTATTTAAAAAAATATAAATTTTTTATTTTTTATCTACAATACTCGTTAAATATTTTTTATATTTACAATATCTGTTAATATTATTATTCGTGTCAAACCTTAATTTGACATATTTTATTACTCGTATCAATTAATGGTATTATTTTTAAATTTTGTGTCAAGTTGTGTTAATGGATAAAATTAACACACTTAACTTAATTTCTAAAAAATAACATTTTACTTGAAGAATTTTTCTACTAGATTATATTTATGAAGAATTAAACGCAGAACTTAAAAAGGGAGGTGAATAGATTTATTAAAATTAAAACTCGGACAATCACCAATTTAAAATCCAAATACCTTAATCAT